AAGTCTGACAACAAAGACAAGAAGATTAAATGTTTCTGCTCTTTCAAGAAGGTGAATAAGTTTCCAGGCAGAAAAATACTTAAAGCCTTTCAGGTCTTTCTTACACACCCTAAAGAAACAGAATAGGGCAAAACCACAGTACTTTTTTCTTCTTTGTGGGCCAATCTTTGAAAATACTAATGGTAGATGACACTGTACAATCCAAATACATTAAAACATGAGCTTTGGAAAACGCCAGTCATACACAAAGTCGTATGACCTTGCATTCACAGCTCTCCTGCTTTCTCCTTTCTGATTTCACCAGGCGAGATGGAGGTGGCTGCAGGGTAGGTAAGGAGATTCAGAGGTATAGCCAATAGCTAGCCAGAAAACTCTGGATTTTGCCCACCTCTTTCAGCCAATTCAGAATTCAAGATTAATATATAGCATTCAGAATCAAAGAGACAAAACAACATGACGCCCCATTTTCATTTCTAGACAGAGTTAAGCTGAACATTTTATACATTGGCACATGTTTTATACTACGTACGTCTCCTGACCTTACAGTCTCTATATGGTCTTCACTAAGTTTGATATCTGAGTTTATTGAACATCAGAATTTTCTCTGGGATCTTTACAGCAAACTAAAGACTAATTTCTTTAGAAATAAGCTATCACACATCCCATTGTATAACTAGAAATACAGATACTCAGATCTAGGATTTTAAAACCCTGTTGTCATATTGCATACACTTGGACTATTTGTAGCTATTTGAATTCCTTCCTCGGATTTGGCTCTCTGCAGCCACAGAAGTGTGACAAGATGGTATCCGCACTCTGTGTCTTACAGCTGGGACTAGATGCCCCAACAAGATCAAAGCTCCATTGTGCTAGGAGCTGTACAAAAATAGTAAGAAACAGTCCCTGCCCTGAAGTGTTTAGATATAAATAGTTTTGTGTTTTTTTTAAAATATAGCACCTGTCTTCTTATAACTGCATTTAAGGATTTACATTATGGAGGTTAAAGCAGCGTCAGCTCCTAAGTCTAGTCTTCTCAGCACCTGCACATTTTGCCAGGTAACCACAGGTTTCACCCCCCAGCCACAACAGTTTCCTCTCCAACCTAGCCAATGGGGGGCAGGGGGAGAGAAGGACTGTCTGCTTTCAACTGGAGAATGAGAGGGGTTGTTCTTTGGGGGAGAGAGGATGGGGGAGGGGAAGAGGAGTGGAGCGACTGGAAAATGATGATGCTTCCGCTTATGATGGGGGGAGGGGGAAAATGAGCACCATATTCGCACTGCAGCCTCATTTCGCCTTTGAAAAATAGTCCAAAAATAAAGCCACAAAGCCACATCACTAAGTCTGGTTATTGTGCAGAAGCTTCTGCAAGATATTTTGACCTAGTTCTGCCCTCCTGTCCATGAACACATCTTCAGAGCATGGAGGACACTCCTTATGTGAGAGGCTGCCAGAAAATTGTCCCAACTGGGTCTTCCATGAAGTTTTTTTTTTCCTGCCATCCTCCAAAGCTCTGTGCCACCCGCTCTATGACTGATCTCCAAAGGGAGATGGTTGGGTCACACATGAGAAAGTTTCCACATCAGAATAAGTCGTATTTTGGTTTTTTAAAAATTGTCAGTGGCAAGCAACTAAATAGTTGACATGCCTTGCTGCAACGCAGCTTCCCCCGGTCCCTCTCTGACACCACACTGGGGAGAGGAGTGTTGTGACCTAACTGCCTAATGCGGTGCTCCCTAGTGAGATGGGGGCTGGGGACAGCCCATTCAGAATCCACCAGGGAGCAGATGGCATAGCAGGGATGAAGTGCTACTGAATGAGCTAGAAATTAGGTCAGTTCCCAGGGATGTTGCCCAAGGAGTGGGGTTTAGACACTGGCACAGAGAAGAGACAGCTGGCTATCATGGGACATCTCAGTTGACTTTACATGGTGGTCCCAGGCTGATGCCCTGTAGTCAGACAAATGAGAACCATCTACCAGGCAGCAAGCAGGGTGATAAGAGGAAAATTAGGAGTTGACTGGGAGCTCTGAAGTGGACTGCAGACACCTCCAGGTTTATCTTTCCACACCTTGCTGCTTGTAATAAACTAGCTCTTTTTGAGCTGCCTTTGAGTTACAGCCAGGTGAGTACCCACATCTATACACCTCTCTCAGGGACCCAGCATTCAGCACCAGCATGCAGATAAGTTTTCATTTGCAACAGAGTTATACTCTTTTTTTTTCCCCCTCCTTTTTTAATTATTGATGTGGGACTTTCACACTTTCCATTTATAAAATCTCAAGATTTTCTGCCTAAGCAGTGTTCTTACAGAATAAGAAATAAACCAAGACTGCCAGGAAAGTTACACACATATAGTTACAATCTATATATTTGCTCAGCTAACTCTTTGACCTCCTCATCAAGGAGGAGTGGGGGAACAATGTGTAAGTCTGTGTGTGTAAAGCCAGGTTTGAAAAGTGTAGCAGATACCTACAAGCAGAAGGACTAAATGCACTAGTGAAAGGCAAGGGTGAAATGTTCTACTAGTGAAGTCCAACGGCAATAGCCTAATGAGATGTGCAGTCCCATATGCCACACATGGCTGTCGGCAAGGGGAGGGTGCTGTTACTGAACCTTTGGGGTGCCTCCATTTTCACATAATTATCTGGGTGCAATTACTGTAAGATTCATGTGCCTCTAGCTACAGGAAGGGAGGAGATGGCTTTTGTCCCTTCTCCCCATCAAAGCAGCAATGGAGTTGGTACCAGAGAAGAACATTGGCGCAAACCTTCCTCTTTCTCCTCCAGTCTCTTTTTTTGGTTTCTCCTCCCTTGCGAAGAATACCAGTGCCTGCTGCCTCTGCTGTGGCTCAGCTTTTCCATTCGGCAACAGCATGCCATTGGCACAGCTCCTGACTGTGTCACTGACACCATAAGGGTTTGGATAGCAGCCATGAAACTGACCATGATCTTGTTAGTTTCACAATACTGCTGCTTGACAATGCTATGAACAAAAGTAGACAGTGGAGCTGTAGATCATAGAAGACAACTGCATTGGCTTATATTTGGTCTTTTGCAATCACAAGGCTTTTTAAAAAGTTGATGCTTGAATCCTATAGAAATTGCTAATCTACCATGTACTCACTTGAGACTGGTGAGCAGCAGTGAGATTTTCAAACCCTGGTACTATGATTTGTGTTAAAGTAGCATTTAGAGTCCCCATTCAGGTTAAGACCCTATTGTGCTAGACCAGTGGTCCCCAACCTTTCTGTGGGGAAGCGTCACCACCGAAATGCCGCCAAAAAACAGCAAAGCTTCTTGGTGGCATTTTGGCGGGCGGTTCTCCAGTGGCCGTGCTCCGCGGTGGCATTTCGGCAGGCGGTGTCCTGCGGGCGCATACAACTGCCCCGGCAAGCATCATTGTGCCCACAGGCACCGCATTGGGGACCCCTGTGCTAGACACTGGACAGGCATTGTAAAATTTGTCTCTAACCAGAGAGTTTAGACGGCAGGGCAAGGGCTCAATATCCTTCTTGCTTTGCCCAGTCAGCACTATTCGAGTTTAAAGTTGACACCTGGAAAATTTAGCTGCAAGTAGTTTGCAAGGTTAGGGACTAAGAAAAGGAGAAACATTGAGAAAGCAGGTTTCAGAGTCGCAGCCTTGTTAGTCTGTATCTGCAAAAAGAACAGGAGTACTTGTGGCACCTTAGAGACTAACAAATTTATTAGAGCATAAGCTTTCGTGGGCTACACTGTTTCTCACCTACACCCTGGATAAGTCAATATAAAGTAGCACTAAACTGACAATATTATAGTGGAGCAGTCATGAGACAACAGTTAAATTACATCAGAGATTTCAGTTTATAAACTGTTTAAGGAAAACAAGATCATGGAGGCTTATATTAAATTTGCTTACTCTGGCTTGCTTATCACCTCAAATCTGATGAGCAAGCCTCAAAATCTACACAAGTCTCAGACAACTAGGCCAACGGGGTTAAAAAAGTGCACAAGCTTTCAAAAAGAAAAAACCCCACACTGCATGATGCAGTGGAAACTGGCAATATCTGGGAGTAAGTAGACAACACTGTCACATGTGTTCAGTGCATGCTTGCAACTCTGGTCAATATACTCCAGTCAAATCAGGGTAGGCACTGCCTTCTCTACCTACCCTGAAGTCTCCTGGCATCAGGAGATCCTTATGACATTTCCCCCCCCCCCTCCAATTGAGGCACACCTGATAAGAGGAAGTAGACATTTTTAAAAGCATTTTAAAAGCAGGAACATGCAGGAAATCAGAGGATCAATGACACACTTTTTTCCCCTAGGAGTTTCCCCACTCTGTCTAGTTAAGCTGGCAGCTGTTTGAGTCAGCAGGAAGTAGAGTTTTTGTTTGAAGGCTACTGCAGTGATGTGTTTCAAGAATTTTCCCTCAGTGATTTATTGAGCACAGGTCTGCTCCACTACTGCAAGGAGCTGATATTTCACCCAACTTTAATCAAAAGTAAACCTTGGAGTTGGGTGGCGGGGAGGAGGCGGAACCATCCTATTTGATTCCATCATGGATGACACACTGAGGGCAACTTTCCTGTATTTCCTCATCTCTACACAGGGTCAGGAGTCCTGAATGCGTTACTCTGGTAGCTGGATTGCTTTAGGCGGTGTGTAATGTTTACAATAAGGAAAGTTTTCTGGATTTAACACAGAAGTTTTACTCTTTCTGCTTTTTTCAGGGGCACTATTTTGCCCTAGCCTCTAGGAATAGCCCTGTATCATCCACTTCATCTCTAGCCCTCCTGCTGCTCTCCTGTTGCTGGAGTAGAGCCCTGCACCCTCAAACTTCAATATCTCAGCAGGCCTCCTGATAGTGGAGACATCTTACACCCATAGGGTCCTCACAAATGACAGATGTCCTGGTTTGGGGGCTACCTGTGCCCTTCTCCCACAGTGATGACAGGGGCACCCCTGCACCGTACACGCCTCCTATTCCTGAGATGGGATGGGGGGTCCCCTATGCACCCCATACCTGAGATGGTCTCCTGGTAGCCCTTGGTGAAGAACTGCATGGCAGTGGCTGCCCTCCAAGGGGTCCTGAGCAGCCCCTGCCGCTCGGGGTCCTCGCCCAGCGAGCGCAGGATGGTGGTGTAGGCGGCGGCCAGATTGGGCAGGTTCATCTCATTGTCCTCCTCGCTGCGGGTCCTCTCCTCCTTCCAGCTGTCCAGGCACTGCGCGCTGGTGCCCTGCGCGTAGCGGGGCTTCTCCGGCGGCGGCTTCTCCTCCGGCAGCGCGTACCCATTGCAGCTCACCGTCCGCGGCGGCTGCTCCAGCAGCGCCCCCAGCTTCCCCTTCTCCATCGGCCCAAGGACTCGGTCCGTGCGCCCGGGACTTGGGGGGCGGGTCGGGCTGGGAAGGAGAGAATCACGCTACCCTCGGGGGAGGGGGCCCAGGCAGTGCCCGGCGCTGGGGGAGTCCGTGCGCCCCGGCGGGGAAGGGGTGCCCCGGGACAGGGGAGCGTCTGCGCCCAGGAGTGCCGGATCTCCGTGCGCCCGGCCCGGGGAGAGGGGCGGGGAGTCCGTGCGCTCCGCGCGGGGCCGGGACGACCTGCGAGCTCCGCGTCCAGGGCTCTCGGCTCGCACTTCCCGGCGCTGTCCCCCTCTTTATAGCGCGTCGGGCTCCCGTCGCGGGGCCCGCGCCGCTCCCATTGGGCGCCCGGGGCCGTGCGTCACGCAGCCCGGCCGCCTATAAGAGGATCACGGCCCGCGGGGTAAAGGAGACGGAAGCAGCGGCTGCCCAACAGGTTCCCTGCCCCGCCCCAGGCGCTGGGGGAAGGGAGTGGCCGGGTCGGGTCCCGCTGTCACCGGGCTCCCCGCCCGTGGGGGGGGTGTAGCTCTGCGGGGGGCGCCTCATGCCTCAGAAGCCGAAGCCCTAGTGCGCCCCAAGCCAGGGGCCTTGTCCGTCCAGGCTGGCTCTGGATCCTGCTGCTCATTTCAGCTGCAGGGGCTGGGCCCTTGGCAATCGATTCGGGGAAACTGCTGAAGCCCATGGTCAGCAGCGTGCGACGAAGGCCAGGGTTCAGTTAATGGAAGGAGGAGTACCTGTGCCCAAATAAATGTGTTAGTCTCTAAGGTGCCACAAGGACGACTCTTCTTTTTTGCTGATACAGACTAACACAGGTACCGCTCTGAAACCTGTACCGTTAATGCTGAGCTCCAGGAACGATCTCACCCTTCCCTGCAAATTGCTCAGAATACTATGCAAATATACAATAAAGCATTTCCGTTTGTTACACCATCCCTGGTAAGAACAAACATATTCACACTATGAGGACTTGGCTTTATATTAGGGTTGCTTCCTTGACTACAGAGCCCATCCCCACAGACACTAAAGAGCAAAGATCTAGGCAGCAAACCATTCAACATCCCTAGGACGCTCCACTCATCAATTCTCCTACCTAGCTCCCTTCAGCCTTAACTGATCCAGTGTGTGCACTTACTGTACTAGGGAGCTGGCATGGCTTTCATGAGTTACATTGGACATAGCTCTGAGGGTGGTTTGGTATTGTGTGTGTAACCCTTCTGCCCATCAGAGTTGACAGCAACAAGGGCCAGGTTCAGTATCAAGGGGTTCCATTCCAACACCACAATGCAAAACCGGCTCAAGCCCCCACCCAGTGACCTGGGACAAATATATACCACCCCCGCTGGGCGCCTCTAAGAGGCAATACTTCCCCTCTCGCAAGCACAGAGGCGGAGTGTAGCAAAAGCCTTTTAATAACAGAGAGAAACAACGTGGCTTTATGTTGCAGAAATACTACCAACAGGATTCATAACACAACCCATGAGCAAAAATCCATCCCAAGCAAATTGGGCCATGTCCTTTCCCTTTGGTTCTTGAGTCCAGCAACCCAAAAGTCACCCAAAGTCCCAAAAGTATCTGTCCCTGGTCAGTGCAGCCCCAAAGTTTGAAAGTTTATCTGCAGAGTTTTATCTCCCAGCCTCTGTGGAAATCGGGGGGGGGGGGGGAGTTAAGGGGCACCTTACATTGTCCAAAGCCAACTGCCCCACCCCTCCATGGGGCTCCGCTCTGCTCCACCAGCTGTCCCCACGAATTGCTCCGCTCCACCAGCTATCCCGTGAACTGCTGCAGCCGTCCTGCAAACTACTCTGCCAGCTGCTCTGCTCTACCAGCTGTTCCGCGAACTGCTCTGTTCCGCCAGCCATCCCGCGAACTGGTCCACCAGCCATCCCATGAGCCTCTCTGCAATATATCTTCAGCCCCCCCGCCCCTTTAACACAGCACTCAGTGATTTTAGCTCTTTAGTGATTTCAGCTTGTAGTAGGGAAGCCTCAGTGCTGGTGCACCATTGACCCAAAGTGAATTCAGCTCAGCAGCCTGTAACTAGACTCCTAATGGAATCAAAACTAGCTCTGATATTCCACAGTGGAGGGAGGAGAAGGTGCAATTGGCATTTAGGGCCCTCACCAGGGGCCCACACCATCAAGTGTAAGTTGGCCTATCAAGGGCTGTGATCAAGTGTCTTCATGTTTTTGGTCTTTTAGCCTCGAGATGAAAACCTTGTCTGTGTCTCTTAGACCTTGAAATGAAAAAAATATCTAAATTATACCTGTCCCCAACCTCTCTCAATTCACTGGGTTTTGGAACCCATGACCCTGGCCTAGCGAGTGCTTCTTAGTTGATGGCGAGTCCCTCCATCATAACAAAATGCCAAGTACAGTTCCACTGTCCTTGATTCACATAATCAGGATAACAGTTTATTCTTCCTGCCCCAATAACAGAGAAACTGGGGCTCCTACAGCAGCCAAAGTGACCATCTAGGTGGGGTGGGTGTGCCTATGCAAATGAGATCAGCCCCTAAAGTTCATTTCCAAAACCCACCACAACTTGCCACCAGATGTCAGGGTAGAGCTCATCCTGACTCTGCTTACACATGTAAGTGAAGTTGGGGGAGATCAGATTGCAAGTAGTCGACGATAGGTTTCTCTGCCATGTTGAAGGAGAGTTGTGTGAATGGATGCTCTGTAGTAGTGATTGTTCACATTTGGCGGTTTTAGGAAGACGTTTGTACTGAAGTCTGCATGTGTGGGCAAGGTCATATTTAGGGGCAGGATTAAGGCTGTGGGTTGGTTGTTCAAAGTGAAAATGTGGGCTGAATGATCTAGTTCAGTGGTTTTCAACCTTTTTTCAGTTGCCCACCCCTAAAAAATTTCAAATGGAGGTGCGGACCCCTTTGGAAATTGGAGACATAGTTTGCGGACCCCCACTCCCCGAGATCCATGGACCACAGGCTGAAAAGAGAAGGTTACTTACCTGTAACTGGAGGTTCTTTAAGATCTGTGGTCCCTATTTAGATTCCAAACTTGGGCATGCATGCCATGCGCCGGAATGATTCATAGCAGTGTCCATTGACATGCATGTGTGTTCTCCTCGTGTCTCCAGGCGAGGCTATAAGAGGCCATGCAGGGTGACACCGCTCCAGTATCCCTCTTTACCGCTAAGCAGTGTAGTCTATAGCAAAGGGGATGGAGGGAGGTATTGGAATCCAAATAGGGAATCACACATCTCAAAGAACTCCAGTTACAGGTAAGTAACCTCCTTCTCTTCTTCAAGTGATGGTCCCTATATGCATTCAAAATGTGGGTGAGTAGGAAGCAGTGATCAGTGTGGAGTGCAAAGACTTGCAAGAAGTCAGTCTGTAGTACGGCACTGCCTATGGCTGCATCTGCAGCTGCTGCTGGGGCAATGGTGTACTGAGAAGGGAAAGATTGGACAGAGCTCCGCATGGCTGCCCGGCAAATGTCCTCCATCTGCACCCGCGTGGAGTTAGCAGTGACTCTAGGAGGTGGAATGACATTAGAGAGAGTGTAGCATTTGTGAATGAAATGGGATATCCATTTGGAGATGTGCTGCGAGGAAAGGGCTTGTCCCTTGCAACATTAGGCAATGGCAACGAAGAGTTTGGGCGAAACCCAGAAGGCATGGGTGCGTTGGAGGTAGAAAGCCAGTGCATGTTAGATGTGGAGAGAGTGCAGTGTTCTGTCCCTGTGGGAGGTCTGGGGTTTGGGATAGAAGACTGGGAGGCGGATGCACTGGATGAGGTGGAATGCAGACACCACCTTAGGAATGAATTTGGGGTGCAGGTGTAAGGAGACCTTGTCCTTGTGGAAGATGGAGTGGAGGGGTCAGCCATCATGGCCACCAGTTTGCTAATTCATCATGCCGATGTGATGGCCACCAAGAAGATCGTGTTCACTGAAAAATGGGAGAGAGCACGCATGGCGAGGGGTTCAAAGAATGGTCTGGTGGGGGCAGAGAGAGCAATATAAAGGTCCCAAGAAGGGGTAGGTATGAGCACTAAAGGAAAGGTGTTGAGCAGAACTTTGAGGAAGCAAACGGTAGTCAGGAGTGTGACAACAGAGATACTGTCCATCAGGGGAGGAATGCATGAGCACCGTCAGGTGGACCCAGATGGAGTTGTGGGCAAGGCCCGACATTCTGAGTTGCAGAAGGTAGTCTAGTAGGATAGGAATGGATATGGAGTCCAGTGAGTAATGGTGGCAGTGAGGCCAGGCAGTGAATTGTTTCCATTTCGCCTGACAGCAAGCCCTGGCGAATGACCTCCTGCTGTGCGTGAGGACATTGCATGTTGGGGTGGAACACACCCTGTCTACATGGAAGCTCCATCCAAACACCAAGCCGTGAGGTGGAGCAGGCTGAAAGGCGCCTTCGCGCTCCAGGGTCCAAACCACATGCTGGGGGCTGTCTTTGGTCAAAAGTCCAGTCAAGGGGGCTGCGATCAACGTGAATCAGGGAATAATGTGCCAATAGTAGCCAACGAGTCCCAGGAACTGGTGCACTTGATGCTTCGTGATGGGTAGTGGGCAGGCTGCCAGGGCCTGAACCTTTCCCACAAGGGGCTTCACTTGTCCTCTCCCTTTGGTGTACCCGAGATATGTGGTCTCTTGCCATCCAATGCAGCATTTTTTGGATTGGCCATCAACCCGGCTACCCGCAGGAACCTCAGGACCGCAGCTACCCGCTCTAGGTGGTCTTCCCAATGGCAGCTATAGACAACCACATCATCCAGGTATGCAGCAGTGTAATCTTGGTGGGGTTGGAGGATGCAGTCCATCAGCCGTTGAAACGTTGCTGGTGTCCCATGGAGGCTGAAGGGCATCTGAGTAAATTGATACAGACCCTTTGGGGTGGCAAATGCGGTCTTTTCCCTGGAGGCAGGGTCGAGGGGGATCCCTTTGCTCAGACTGAGTGTGGTGAGGAAGTAGGCCTCCCCTAAACAGCCCAGTAGTTCATCTACACGGGGCATCGGATATGCAGCGAATTTTGAAATGGTATTGATGTATCAGAAGTCAATACAAAAGTGCCGTGTTCCATCAGGTTTGGGTACCAGCACTAGCGGGCTGCGCCATTCGCTCTGCGATGGTTCAATGACTCCCAGGTCGAGCATAGCCTGTACTTCCTCCTCAACGACTTGCTGCATGAGGTGCGGCAAGGGCCTGGTCAGCTTCCGGATCACCGCTCCGGGCTCCGTCTGAATGGTATGATGAACTAGGGTCATGTTGTCCGGTTGGACTGTGAAGGTTCGCAGGAACGCCTGCAGGAGGCACTGGGTCTGCTTACACTGCAGCTGGGAGGTGAAGTTGCAGCTTACAC